ACTCGATCTTTCTCATTAGTTGGAAAATTAATGAGAATTGACTACATATGTTAAGGAGTTTTCATTGTCCTAGGTTTCCTTGCTGCTCCTCAAATGCCCCTTACATCTAGTTGCCTCTCCCAACATTCCCTCCCTCAGCTCCTCTTCTGCTCCCCAACTGATCCTTCCATTTCAGCTCTCACCCCCTTTTCCCAGTCCACTCATAAAGTTCATCTTATTTCTCCCTCTCAGGAGATCTATGTGTTCCCCTCTGAACCCTTCATCAATACCTGCCCACTCTGGATCTATGGATTGCAGCTTGATTATCACTTATTTAATGGCTAATGTCTATATAACGTCAATGAGTGAGTTACCTCATTCGGTTTTTTTTTTAAATATTTATTTATTATGTATACAACATTCTGTCTGTGTGTCTGACTGCAGGCCAGAAGAGGGCATCAGATCTCATTTCAGATGGTTGTGAGCCACCATGTGGTTGCTGGGAATTGAACTCAGGACCTCTGGAAGAGCAGGCAGCGCTCTTAACCGCTGAGCCGTCTCTCCAACCCCTCGGTGGTTTTTTTTCTACTTCCATCCATTTGCTTGCAAATTGCATATCATTTTAACAACTGAGTAATACTCCCTTGTATAAAAGTACATTTTCTCTATTCATTCTTTTGTTGAAGGACGTCTAGGTACACACACAAAAAAAGTACTTCAGACTCCCAACTTCCAAGCCCAGAATGGTAGCATGCAAATATGATACTAATACATGTGGAAACTGATGGGCTCAGAGCCAAAGCCAATGTGGGCTACATACATCAAAGCCAATCGCAAACAAACATACACAAACAAAAAAGCTCTCCTGATTTCAGAACCAATGGGTTAGTGATTTTTTCTGTATCTATAATGATTTTATTTACTTTCTTCTATTGGTCATTGCAAAAACTGAGATTTACTGCAAAAGCACTGTCAAGGCAATAATCCCAGTACCTGGGAGGCTTAAGTTTGAAGCCAGCCAGGGCTACAAAATAACACTATCAAAATACAATCATACAGGTGTCGTTGTGTTAAATATAATAAAATCTGTGTTTCACCAACTGCAATTCTTCACTCTGCAATTCTACCAAATAGCCTTAACACATGCACTCACTTAATACTATGTCATGAATCTCTCGTCCCTGCCAAATACCATCATACCAGTGACTAGGGACAGAAAGATGAAGACCTCATTCTTTGCACTGGAATGCTACACAATACAGCAACAAAAACGGACCCTCCAACTTAACTAGCACACCAGCAAAGAGCTAACTCATAAATATAAAACTCCACAGTGTAATGAGTTTGAAGGTTTACATTAAAAAAAAAAATAAGGTGCTTATTTTTGGTTTTTTGTTTTTAAGAAATCAAAAAAAAAAAAAAAACCCAATTTCAGAAAACGGCTGTCTTATTTCCCAAGGATGGGCAATGCTGACTAAAGATGAGCTAAAGCATGCAAGTCATTTTAAATGCACTCATATGACAAATACAGCTACTTGTGAAACTCTAGTAGTGGCTTTATGTGTGCTTTATTTTTTGTTTTGATTTTTGTGAGACAATCTTACTATGAAGTGCAGGCTAAATGCAACTTCACTTAGGAAGTTCTAGGAGTACACCATCACATCTGGCAGGTAATTTTTTTTTTATTATTAGTATTGACAATCACAGAATCAGACATGGATTTTGGACTGTGGAGTGTAGTTACTGAAACACCAGTGGAAAAATCACAGCAATACCCAGTCATCGTTAAAATACAGGGCACAATGCCAAAACAGAATAAAACTTAAACATAATTATTTTCTCAAGCCTCCACTGGGAAAGCATAAGGACTGGTTTAGTGTCTTGGGATTCCACTTGGTTTGTGGTATGTACCTACCCCTCTGCTAGTAATATACTTACTATGCACACACTCCTCTCCAATCAATGCAACCAGCAACCTCAGAGCCACACCCACAGAGAGGATATGTTTCTATTCTTCTAACAACAATGAAACGTGGAAAGTTTCTATTCGAAAGTATGCTCAATGCATTCTACTCTGAAGATCAGAGGAGAGATCCAGCCAGGGCTGATCTGGGGTACATGAAGAGTAAAACAAAACTGTATCCTTTTAGGAATTATACTCTTAAATCTACTTTATTCCTATGTATATGACAAAATTAGATGCATATGGAAAGAAATATGCACAATGGAAAAATTATTGTATGACCTAATCAATCAAAATAGAGAACCAAGCAAATTACACCCTTAGCAATCAGCCCATCCTTCCTTTAGACCTTATAAAGAGAGATCTCAGACAGCAACTTGAGATCTTGAATATTTTCACTCATGTACCTGGCTGCTCCCTTGCACCATATGCTAAATTTTTCTACTGCTTTGCTTTAAATAAAATTTCCTTGCTACTTTTGCAAATCAGCATGGGTTTTAATTTCAATTCTGTGAATAAATGGCCAAGAATCTGGAAACATAAAACACCAATAAATAATGTATAACAATAATAATAATAATAATTAATTAATAAATAAATAAATAAATAATGTATTTTCAATTTACATGGCATCTTTACCAAAAGGGCAATTGAAACATGAAACCTGGACTCTATTACCACATTACTCTGAAGATTTACAGGGAACCAATGATCTGTTTCCTTACTTCTTTAAAAAATAAAACACTATAAAATGGAAGAAGTATAGTGTCAGAGGAGTAAGATCAACATTTTTAACACAATCCTACAGTTAGCCGATATTAATTAGATTTAAGCGCAGAAAACAACTTAAATCACCAGGAGAAATTAAAGCACCTTTCCCACCAGATGATTCATCTTTGTTACTTATACTTTTTAAAATTACATGAAGGGATTAATTTTAAAGGCACAATATGTGGAGCTGGAGAGTTGGCTCAGCAGTTCCTGCTTTTCTGGAGAAGCCATAACTTATGGTGAACAACTCACAACTTATAACTCCCAGGTCCCGGGCTGGAGAGATGGCTGAGAGGTTAAGAGCACTGACTGCTCTTCCAGAGAGGTCCTGAGTTCAATTCCCAACAACCACATGGTGGCTCGTCAACCATCCAAAATGAGATCTGATGCCTTTTTCTGGTGTGTAGGCATACATGGAATGTTGTATACATAACAAATAAATAATCTTAAAAAAATATTAAAAAAAATAACTCCCAGGTCCCAAGGATTTAACACCCTCTTATGGCCTCTCCAGGACACACACACACACACACACACAATATATATTTGCACACATACACATAAAAATAAATCTTAAAAAGAATCTCACAATCTATCCATTTAACTTTAGCTAAATCAGGACTGCAAGAAATTAATTCATTAAATACCTGAACAACTTTATAAAGTTTGTCAATCATGTTTACTTGAGCTATTCCAGCAATACACTTAGTTTCCATTAAACTAGCAATACCCAAGTTACTTTTATAATTCAGCTAAGAAATTCTGATTTAAAATTACATAACTGCCCTTTAAGATTTTAGACAATTTTCCAATTTTTTCCTATACAACAAACCTAGTTTCCTAGTTCTGTATTGTTAATGCTTTCAAATGCACGCCTTGTTAGAGGTAATCCTTTTTGGTCCTGTGGAAAGACACGGTGACATCTTTTCCACCCCTTCCTGCCAAGCACTCACAAATTCTACCACTTGTTTCCACTCCTCCTAATTTATTTACTCCTCTCTGATACACACTAGGAATCTAAGACAGCACACAAAGTAAGGCAGATGAGGGCGACGGAAGCCATCACTTCTCTAAGCTACAAATCAAGTCTACACTCCACAAAGCAGAATCTTTTGTTCAAATTGTCTAACGAATCACTTCTATGGGAATACTTAGTGCCTTTTCCTCTTACGCTTTTAAAAGAATCTAGGTTAAAGTTACAGAGCACATTTTTCAAATATCATTTTACAAGTGGAAGAAACTACTAGAAATTTCATTCCAGAATATTCTCATGAACTGGTAAAGGTTGAAATTTTGTTTTCAAAATTTGATTCTACCAGTGACCCAAATTTGACAATAAACATAACGGCAAAAATTTTATCAAAATGTAAAATATCTTCATTTTATTGCTTCTTAGAATTTAAATTATCCTTATGAACAAATTCTCAGAAGCTACTAGGGGCTAGGCATGTGGCTTAATTGGGGTACATGTCTTAGCATGTACACTATCACAGATTCAAATCCCTGAATTTTGAGTGGGGGGGGTACTGATGATCTATACTTAATCTCCATGTTCACAATAAGGAAGTATTTGTAAAGTCCTTAATTCTATTCTCTAATACTGCCAAATTAAAAACTGCAATAACTTAATGAAATTCAAATTTGAATATCTTAAAAGAAAATATACTTAACTAAAGTTGTAAGACACAAACTAATCATTATCCAGTGAAAGTTTCCAGCTATTAAGTCTAATCTGCTTTAGTTAAAATATGTGGCTGTAGCAGGCAATAGCAGAGCACTTCTTTAATCTCAGGACTTGGGAGGCAGAGGCAGGTGGATTTCTGAGTTCAAGGCCAGCCTGGTAGACCAAGTGACACAATGGACAGACAAGGCTACACAGAGAAATCCTGTCTTGAGAAGGGGGAGCAAGAGAAGGGGAGGAGAAGAAAGGGGAGGAGAGGGGAGAGGAGCAGAAGGAAAGAGAAGAGAAGGAGAAAAGGAAAGGAAAAAGGAAGAGGAAAAACATGGTTGCAATAGTAAAAGATTAAACCATGTTAATATTCAAAAATTCTAAGCATACTATATAAAAATAATACTCATTTTTAAATATCTTAGAACCTCATTCAGTTACTTATAATCCTAAAAGTAGTCTCCAATGCCATAAACCTTCAAGTGTTTTTCACCACATGGAGGCAAATTTCACACTACACTAATCTTGTATTCAATTAGATGTCTAGTTGGAAAAAAAAAAATCAGTAAAAGCTAATAGAAGTTTAACTTCTTAAATCTGAATCTGCAGAAAACTTACCTGATTTGTCTGGCTACTTAAGTATGGCTCAAAATCATCATCATTTACAGCATCTTTTTGATGAATCGAACCATTTTGTACTGAAACTAAAAAACATATTTGTATTAGAAATGTAATCCTTATAAAATTTATAGCACAATGTTAACATTTCAAACACTTTTCAAGCCAACTCTGAAAAAAATAGTACAGAATTTCTTGCTGTTTTATAGATTTAAGAACTCTCTTAAGGATAACCTTTAGAAATAATGTGTGCCAAAGAAAACTTAGAAATCCCATGATCTAAAACCCAATATTATATAAACCATATCTATATACTCTCCTTGATCAAAATCTTAAATATACCAATTTCAAAATTGTAGTAAGCAAAGCAACACAGAAATGTTGGGAAGGCTCCCTAAAATTGTGTATGACTTTAAAATAACTTTAAGTAATAATGTAGATAATATATTTGAGTATGTGACCTAACTTTGTAAAAGTCTATTAATTTGATAAAGGTAAGAAAGTTTTTCTTACCAAAACTGGGTCTTCTTCCTACATTACCAGGCTAACCCTGAATTCTCAATCATCCTACTTCAGCTTGTGAAGCAATGGGAATACAGGCATACATACAACACCACGCTGAGCCTTCAAATAACTATTTATGACCTGAAGTTCCAGTAAATTACTTAAATGTCTCCAAAGTGGTTAAAATTCATGATTATGAAAAATCTAGAAAGGGCTAGGTCTGATGCCACATACTGGGTACCACAGCACTTGAAAAATAGAAGCAAAAGGAGAGCAAGATAAAAACCAGTATGGACTACACAGACTGGGCTATGTAGCAAGACCCTCTCATCAAAAAGGAAAGGCCTTATGTTGTTTTGGTTTGGTTTTTGGCAGTACTGGGGGTGCCAACCCAGGCCTCATGTACATTATGTAAGCACTCTAGTTAAAATCTATAAGACTTTGATTCTCTAATAAATGTGTGTGCACATACCTTGATTCTCAAAGACTAACAACTCACTGGTGAAATTAGCATGCACTGAGGTTTTGTGTTCAAATCTAAACACCAATAAATAAGACTTTCACATGAAAGTAAAACTACAATTAAGACACCAAAGATGATGATGATTACTCATGAAACACATGAGGAAACAAACTAGAATGTAACACTAGTTCAAAACTACTTTATACACTGTAAAAAGACATATTTTGTAGTCAAGAAAAAAATACATTTGGACACTGTCCCAGTAGTGCCTGGGTATAGCATATAAAACCACCTCCTAGATTTCAATTTCAGGTCTACTACCGAGGAGGCGAGTGGTCTCCAGTCATGATTTGAGCTCATTAACCTAATAATAACTCAGGTTATTCAGTGCCTATTTCATTTCATCTTCGTATGAGATTACTATATTAAATAATCTTTTATACTAAATGCTGCAATACCCCAAATAAAACTAAAAATTATTCTAAACCAGAAAAACAGACAAAGGTTACTGGAAAAGTATCTGATACAGTAGCAGTATTTGTTATTGAAACATGAAATAAAAAAGAAAAGGCAATTTGTGAGGGATGTCAATCTCTTAGAACTACTGCTCAAAACTACAATGTCACAATGTATCGCCAAGTAATATGGAGTTAAGTTTACCAGAGCATCAACTCTAATTTTGTCCTAAGTGTACATTACCTAAAATGTAACATTAGTGAGCAGTGGCTTATGAGCAAAGATCTATTAAATCCCTTCATTCTTCATCCAATAATGTTCAGGGATAGCTCAAAAGTAAAACTACTCTGAGCCTGAAGGCTTCAGAGCTGACCTCTATGGCCCAAAGATCAAAAGGATCCTGACTCCACTTAAAGATTTAACAGTGTTTCATAATGACTTCACCAGGGTCAGGTTTGGCTAAATGGGTTCCAGAATTAAAATATATAACAGACTGATACACTTGTTCTTCCCATTGGTTTGACTATTCCTTTATCAACAATAGTGATGAACAGTCTTTTATTTCTTGAAGGCCCCCCCCAAAAAAGTTGCTGATGACTAGAATAGACTATTAAACTAGTATGAATATCAGCCTGAATTTAAAACAATTATTTCTATCTCTTGTATCCATCAGTTCTTGGTTATCTAGTCCGTACTGCTAACATAATCAAAAAAGTATCCATTTAAAGGCTCCTAATAAGATACTAACTAGCCCTTTAATTTCAGAAGCATACTTTCTTTAAACAACTGTTTCATAAGATTTTAGCTGTTGATCATTACTTAAGGACAATCTAATGCCTTAGAGACTGAAAGTCACTGAACATTAATGAAATCTAAGCCACTTCTATATTGTGTAAAAGTCTTCAGGGAAAAAGAACAGATGACTTACATGATTCTTCGCCTGTTTCCTCTGCCCTATGAAGCAAAGTCAAATCAAGATAGAACATGGGCCTTAGAAGCCAGGTGATTCTCTGCTCTGGTCCTGACTACATCAAGTTAGGAAAGTCAACAGATGTGTGCATCATGTTTTCCCACCTACAAAAACAGCGACAATACCATATACCCTCTATCTCCTTACAGGAATGTTGTGAGGATTAATAATAGTATGAAGCCAAAATAATGATAGTATGGTGTTTTGAAATCATTTCTTGGGAGGGACAGAGAGAAGACACAACATCATATTGCTAAAATACACTAATTTTCTGAAACATTCAAACAACCAATTTCAACCTAATTCTTTTAAACTGCAGTTGTATAAAATGATGTACGTGTCCCTCCTACAAAAGGAATAAGGAGGAGGAAAAAGAACCAATTTCCACGTGTTGCTTACTTATATAAACTTAAGGAACAAAAGAAAGGAAGGAGGAAGACCTAAGAGGACATCTGGACACACAAATGAAGACACAGCAAGCAAAAGTTCTTGTTAATAAAGAAAATTATGGACCAACAAGTAATTATTCTTACATTTTAACTATCTTTTGGTATCATCTTGCCAAGTGTAACAAGCAGTTCTGAAATTTTACACAGAAAAGGTTTTTCTTAATTTAAAAAAGGAATATGTAAAAGTAAGTATACCAAAAATTAGGAATTACATTTCAGAAATATTTTTGTCTTTCCAAATAGACTGACAGAACTCCTTTTCATTCTTTTAGTCCAATAAGCCTTAAGGATATGCTTAAAAACACTTTGCAGAAAAAGACACTAAAGCCAGCTCTTAGGCTAACAATGTCAACTAAAGGTAATTCATAAAAGAAGTAGCATCTCGGAATTCATATTAAGTCAACTAGTTTAAAAATCTTAACCAATAGCAACTTCTAAGGAACATAAAGTTCTTAAACTCTGAAACTCAAAATTATTATCTTTACAGTTGTAAAACGAGAATAGTTACAGTTTCTGCTTAATAATAGAACACAGACTTACTATAAGACAATTTCACTAACTTAAAGTAAGTCAGCTAAGACAGAAGTTTTTCTCAAACACACAAAAGCTCCTAACTGCCATGTGTTATCAATCCTGACTTGGCTTGTAATGTATTTGTAAACTTACAATGGTTCCTATCATTTTATAATGGTTCCAACTTACATGATGTTAAGCATACCAATACTTTTGGACCAGCAGAGCTTTTCTTCTCTTCCTCAAAAGAGGATAAAAAAATAATCCAACAGATAGCATCTAGAGCAATAAGCTGTTGTAATTACAATATCTTAACAACACGACTTACAGTCACCCTTCTTTTGTTTATAGAAGAGAATTTTTAAAAAAAAAAGTGCAATGTGCTCAACAAACTTGGTAACTCAGTAGCTACATGTTTAAGAAATCCCAGCCTTCGTCCTAGAATAAAACTATAAATTGAACAAAAAGAGTCAAAGAAAAGCTGGGAGAATAAAGAACAAGAACTATCCAAAAACCACAATGTGTATGTGTAGCTACATATCAAATCAGAAGTGACATTATCAATTAAAAATTCTCATATAAAAATGCAGTCACCAGGTGATGCAGCCTGTGGCTGTCTTCCGTATTTGAGACAATTTATAAGTAACTGGTGTGTGACAACAGGTCACTAGGCCACACCAAAGTGAAGTGATTCCTGAGTAAACCAAACTCATGAAAATCCAGGACAAGCTTACAATACCCAATCTATATGGTGGTCTACATTTCTTATCCAAAAAGAATTTCACATAAGTCACTTACCTTAAAATGCGTAACAAAACACTTAGCACTTCAAATAGCCTTGCATAGTTCTAGGATAAAACAGTTTACACTAGGCAATAATGACCACAGATTTCACAGATGGTCAGATTAGCCAAAAGAGAAAAAGAAATTTCTTTTAAATTTACAAATGTTTAAGAACTATTTTTAAGTTAACCTCTAATTCTGAAGTTTAAAATTATAACTAAAATTCTGTAAGTTAATTCCTAAATGTTTATGTGCTGAAAGAAAACATTAATTAAAGTAAAGCAGTAAGTTTGTTACCTACACACTTCAATGTGTCTGGCATATACAAATTCTTATATAAAATGCAGCATAACATGAAGGAAATTATTCTGTGAAGAACATAATTATTTTCCAATTAACCAGCATTGCCACATAAAAACCCAGGAAAAAAATTTAAAGCATCAAAAGAAACATGAAAGTTACACCTAAAGGGCTACTGCAGATCTTATTTTCTAAGCAGTACTTGGTTACTGGGGAAAAAAACAGGAAGTATAATTGTACTGAGTGTCATTTCCGGCACTGCAAAACGTTATAACTATATACTTCATTGGAATGTTCTTTAATTGGCACCACCCCAAGAAAGGAGTTATTGTCCTATACTAGTATCACATGATTCATGTCATAATGCTTCAATCAGCTGACTACTGAGTTCCACGGGCATAAATACAAACTACATTTCTGTTTTAAATGTTTTACTTTTAATGGTAGTTTTTAAACAGTAAGTCATATAATGCTGGCAATACTGCACAAATAATTTCCTTCTCAGGTCTTTGTAAGACACACCTTGCAGTCAGGGCTATACAATGAGATACTTGTTGTTAGGAGTTAGTTCTGTACTGCTGTTGCCTCTTTGCAAGCAACTTTTATGGATCAGTGATTAACCGTACGATTTTCATTCATGTGACATAGAACGCCATGTGAACTGCAAGTATAAATGTTATCCAGACATTTCAAACAGAATGTCCACTTCAAGAACGTACTTAAAACTAGACACAAATGTAGAAAATTGTGACCTAAGTTATGTAACAAAGATAAAAGAAAACTAATAAAGAAATATCTTACGTTTACTGAAATACAAGCAAGACAGCTGTTTATTCTTGCAGAACTTCGGTTTCTACAAACGTAGCTCCAAACCCAGGAACTACCTAAATGTTAGCTGTCTTAGCTGCGATGGATGTTTTTCTAACCTTTACATTTAAGAAGAAAAGCAAAAACAAGACAGAAGCCGCTGGCGGTTTAAAAATAACATCAGGGCAACATCTGAGAGCAAAAAAAAATAAATAACCAAACTCACCTTTATTTCCTTGCCCTTTAGGTCTCTGGAGCAAGACGAAAGATGTGGTAAAGGGAGGGGGGGAGGAGAGGAAAGAAAAGTGTGTTAATCAGAGACATTCTCGGAGACAAGTTATTCAGAACAATCCGCGTAGGAGTGAACCCCTCCAGCTCCTCCGCAGCCACT